TAAAATTCAAGAGTTAACGTATTTCAATTCTATAGCTTAGTAAAAATTAACTTGTTTTGTTTTTAATCAAATTTTATTTTAAAATTTTTTAACATACTTCAACAGTTATTCGTTCAAATATGTCGACAATTAATTCATAAGGTAATGCCTTATTAACTGCTTTTATCTTATCAGATAAAAGCAGTGTTTGTTGTTTTTCTAATATTGTCATAGTATTATGGATTCTGTTGAATAATTAAGACACCGAATTTTTTTATTAACACTTAAATTTACTTTTATTTATAAAAATTCCAACTAATCATCGCTCAAATGTCGTTCTCTTCATATCCTCGTCAGGGCAAAACTTCGACCAACTCCTTACCAAAACTTTGTCCGACTATATAACTTCGTCCAACAAGAAAAAAATGCATTTTTAACGGTTATTTTGGCGCTATGAATGTTGCTTGTTTTTTACAACGAGAGATGTTGTTCCGCCTAGTGTTCTTTAGATTGATTTTTTCGGTAACGGTACTTAAGACCCCCCTATTCTTCGAACCTATTCCTGAAAACGAACCCTCCTATTCCTCGAAACCTAAAAGACCCAAACAATTTAAAATGCATTTTTTTCTCTTTGGACTAAGTTTTGGTATGTCGGAGTTTTGCTGGACAAAGTTTTGTATACGGAGTTTTGTCTGTTGAAGTTTTGTCTGGACTGAGTTTTGTCATTCGAAGTTTTGCCCCTCACCCTCTAGATCGATCATTTCTAAAAAATTATTGTTTCCTCACTTAGACTATCCATTTCTGTTGGAATTTAAAAAAACTATGGATATTTTGATTTGATTATAGACATAAACAAAGTAAAAACCCTAAATAAAGAATAAAGGGTACACTATCCCCCAATGTACCGCGAGGCCAAGGACCGCCGAGCTATAACCTCGTTCAAAATTATCGAATCCGGGTTCGATTCAGCTCGTTTGGTTGCATCCAACAATACCAGGGAACCCTGATTCGACAAATTTGAAGTATTTTATAGCCTCGGCGGTAGGTTAGGCTCGCGGTACAAGGCAGTTCCCAAGAATAAGAAACCCTAATTAAAGAAGGGTTAAGCAATTACAACCTTGATTAGGAAAGCTAACAGGATGACAACCCAATATTTTTCTATTTATTCAAAAAAGAATCGTTTGCAGAGAATTTGTTCCACAGGTTTGCAGGAAAAGTATGAAAAATAACCTTAATTTAAGAAAATGCCAACCTATTTATAACGTATACAATTGACGTATAAATGACCTTTTTAATAAATATATAGGAATTATTTTGTTTTACTAAGAGGGCTTATTTATTAATAAATGTCTTTCCCATATCATCCCTCTTTATTACAAAATATCATGATGAGAGGTCAATAATTTTGCCAAAATGAAAGAAACGGAATAATGTGTGTGGAAGTACACAGAATTAATATCAAAAGTCTGGAGCTTTTATCCGCTAATCTAATATTTATTTTTTACAAATATTTTTTGTTCCATTTAAAATAAAAAATGAAAGTTGTAAAAATAAAAATCTTCATTAAACATTTTTATTATATTTTGGCAAATTTTTTTTTTAATTTTATCAAGAAATTCTAAAATTAAAAAATAGATTGTTAAACACAATTTGGGATTTAAATTTTGTTTGATCAATGGATAAGAGGAGCACTATAAGTATGTGTAGAACATAAGCATCTTATTATAAGTTATATGTATTTATCTTTCAAATTTTGATGACCTTGAATGCTTTGCCGTATTTGGGTACACCCCATCTTACCGCAGCCCAACTTACCGCAGCCCATCTTACCGCGCCCATCTTACCGCAGCCCAACTTACCGCGAGCCCAACTCACCGCGAGCCCATCTTACCGCAGCCCAACTTACCGCAAGCCCAACTTACCGCCGAAAATTTCATAAATAAAATAATCAATAACTGTATCAACCAATCGATAAGGTTGTTCCAATGTCGGGTAGGATTGTTCCAATCATGGATAAGTTGGCGGGGAAGTTAGGGAAGTTGTTCCGTCAACGGGGGGAGTTGACCCGTGAACGGGGGGAGTTGTCCCGTGAACGGGGGGAGTTGTTCCGTCAACGGGGGGAGTTGACCCGTGAACGGGGGGAGTTGTCCCGTGAACGGGGGGAGTTGTTCCGTCAACGGGGGTGTTGTTCCGTCAACGGGGGGAGTTGACCCGTCAACGGGGGTGTTGTTCCGTCAACGGGGGGAGTTGACCCGTCAACGGGGGTGTTGTTCCGTGAACGGGGGGGGGGGAGGGGGGGGGAGTTTCCCGTAAACGGGGGGAGTTGTCCCGTGAACGGGGGGGGGGGGTGTTGTCACGTGAACGGGGGAGTTGACCCGGCAACGGGGGGTTAGCAACATCGAAGGAAGAATTCCAAAAAAATTTTGTTTGGCGGTAAGTTGGGCTGCGGTGAGTTGGGCTGCGGTAAGATGGGCTCGCGGTAAGTTGGGCTCGCGGTGAGTTGGGCTGCGGTAAGATGGGCGCGGTAAGTTGGGCTGCGGTAAGTTGGGCTGCGGTAAGTTGGCCTGCTCCCGCCGTATTTACTCGATTAATTCCACTGGGGTATTATTTTTTCAACCATCCGTGGCATGGGGAATTATTCAAGGGAGGGGAATTATTCGAGTTTTGAAATTTGAACGTATATTAGGGTATTTGAGGGAGGGGGATTATTGTTTCAACTCATCCATAGGAGGGGGAATTATTCAAGGGAGGGGAATTATTCGAGTTTTGAAATTTGAACGTATATTAGGGTATTTGAGGGAGGGGGATTATTGTTTCAACTCATCCATAGGAGGGGGAATTATTCAAGGGAGGGGAATTAATCGAGTAAATACAGTAATTTAAAAATAATAGAAGGACATTTTGAATAATTTAGTTATATAAGAGTTGCGGCGATTTTGCCGATTCTTCAATTCGAAATCGGTAACACTCTCATTATAAAGCAATTTTCCTCAAAAATGCTCCTTTCTATCCGATATCACAACATAAGATGTCGGCCTAATTCGTTCCTGATGTTATAGTCAGTTCGAGATTCAACAGTAGTATTTATGTGAAACAAAATATTAAAAATTAATTAAGAAGGATATTAATTTTTAATAAAACAAATTCATTGAGATAAACAAAATTAAAACATTTCTATTAAAATTATTAAAAAAATTTAATAGATTTTGAAGCAAAAAATCAATTTGCACTTTCCCTATGAAACTTAAATTAATTTAAATTTGAAATTGTTTAGGTACCAGTTAAATAAATAAAAATAAATTTTGCTTATTTCTTCTCTCAAATTAAAAAAAAAATTTTTTTATTAACAAAGGTCATTATGAAAGAAATAAAAAAAAGTTTTTCCAAGTTTTGAAATATTTTTCCACCAAAAAAATTTTTTTATATCCACAAAAATATTTACATAAATTCCATTAGTCATTCCTAATTTTAAATTTTTTTCAGCTTTTTTCCCTTTCATGGTTCCCCTCAATTTTCTCTTTTCATTGAATTAATATTTTAATAAATTTGGCCAAATATAACTATTATGGCACTAATGATTTAATAATAAAATTAACAATAAGCTCCTTGAATATTATTATACTTTAGCTTTATATTAAGTGGATAATAATTTCATTTCGCAAATTTTCTTTCATAAGATGCAATTTGTTTTAGTATGCTAATTGTAAGCAATGCTATAGCAAAAATGAAAGCTATCATTCGGCGGACGGAGAATTGAGCGGAGCGTTTAATACCTAGAGCTTAAAATTTGAAAAATTCCGGATAGCTGAGTCAAACGATACTTTTAGGTAAACGATACTTTTAGGACTTATTGGTGTAGTTTATATTCCTTCTTATATTTTTGGAAACAATGTAAAACATTGATAAAGTTAAACGTTATCTTGCTTCCGAAAGGTAGCAAGATTAAATTTTAGTTCTTAGCTTGTCTTTTAAATCTTGACCTTTTGGATCATAGAACAGAAAAAATATATGCATCGTGAACTGGGTCCGAAATTTTCTGGGACCAAGACGAGAACATCAACAACCATAAACCATCATGTCATATCCGCATACAAGACATGCATTTGCATATTTTTAAGTTCCTAATTGTATCTGTCTATTATAATGCTATAGTTTTTCAATTTTCAAAATTTATTTTAGTGAAGAATTTTTTCCAAACTCAAAACATTCCTTTCATTATTTCACTTTCAACTACAACAAATTCTTCCTTTTTCACTTCCCATTTGCTCAAAAATGTTCAAATTTTTTTCAAAACTTTTTGTCCCATTTTCCCTTTATTTTTTAATAATTCCTGATATTTATTCAACTACAACAACCACTGGTGGTTCTTTCAAATTGCCATATAAGCGTCATCGATTAAACAGGAAAAGTAGTCCCATTCATGCGATAACAATGAATAAAATCAAAAATTTATTTCAACAAAAATACAAATTTTTAACCAAAAGGATGACTAAAGAATATGAAACTCCTCTTATTGACAGCTTCAATACTATTTTTACCTCTACAGTTACTATAGGCGGGTAAATAGATTTGGGGATAAGATAAACGACTCCCTTTATCAAGATCTATATTTTTTGTTATATCAATTTCCGTACGATCCCTCCCATTCCTATTTAAAATATTATATATTTTTACACGAAATAGTAGTTTGGTTGATATTTACACGAAATAGTAGTTTGGTTGATATTACTCGGAACTCTAGATCATAATACTCGAATTACTCGAGCTCGGAAACCTCATACTTGACAGCCTCGGTTAAAACCGATTATGCCCTTATCGTGATGGCCCTTCCCATATCGGATCTCAAAATTTTCGCCTGTTGAGCTTATTGACACAAATTCTAACACATTCCAGGCACCCCAGGCCAAGAATTCAATGTAGTCATTGACACGGGTTCAACTTCTTTTTGGGTTCTTGATTCTTCTTGTTGTCAATCAAATAGTGAAGAAAATGGTTATAGTATAGGTTAAGTGTAGATTTTTATGTTCAAAATTTGCATTTTAGTGAATAAATTTGATAGTTCTTCATCTTCAACCTTTTTAACAACAAATACTGAATTTGAATGTAAATATGCAGATGGGACTTTTAGTGAAGGATTTTTGGGTATTGATAGGTTAAAGGTACATGATCGCTTTTGGGCATTTTTAGTATTAATTCTCAAAAATTTAATAAATCTGGATGACTTCAAAAAAATAAAAAAATCTGGATGACCTTCCACTGACTAAAAAATTTCATGGAATTTAATTTAGTAGTTAACTGTATGCCTTTCAGTTCGGCTCGAAAGATGACCCAAATATATTGACTGTGCCCACTGCCCTAATTGGACTAGCCTCAGACGCACAATCTGGAGGTTCTATGTTTGAACTCAAAATTGATGGAATTTTTGGATTGGGTCCTCCAAGGAGTGATGATCTCTGTGGCTTTGAATCTCCTCTATACACTGCATATCAGAAGAAATTAATTAATAAAAGTATCTTTTCTGTGTATATGCACAACTCGAAGGATTCTGGAAATGGAGAATATGGTGGAGGTGAGAAAGGATTAATTAGCCTAGTTGGTAAATCACCCAATGCACCTCAACCAATACACCTCAATTTAAAGGAACAGGAATTTTGGTCACCGGAAGTCTGGTTACCTTGATTTTTCGGAACTTTGGTCTTGGTGACCAAACTTCCGGATAAAATTCCGTACACCCATTTTAAGATCGTTTTTAAAATTTGATATGCCACTGGTCAGGGTAATCTGCGTAAGAGATTAATTAAAAGACTTGGGATATTAGTTAAGCTATAAATTGAATTGATAAAAATTAATTAAGATATAACATTTGGCGGGATCGACAACGAACATTGTGGTTCTCCTATTCACTGGGTAAAAGCTCATAATTCAATCTATTGGAGATTCAGGCTAGATGTAAATTTAATTAAATTATTAATACAAATGTGTATGATTAAGTTGATATTTATAGAGCCTGAGCCATAAAGGAAATTCAATTGACATCAAATCAAAAGAGGCAATCTCAGACACTGGTTCTTCATTAATATCAGGCCCAAAGACGGCAGTTAAACATATTTATGATTCAATTGGTGATATTGAAATATATGAAGGGATGATTTTAATTCCTTGTGACAGAGATTTTGAACCTGTTGTATTTACGATTGGTGGAATGGATTTTAAGCTTGGCAAGGCTAGTTTTTTAGGAGCTTGTCCCCCCACTCCTGATCACGATGTTATTTCATTTGATTTAGCTGGGGCTATTTCAATTTATATATTCGAATTTGCGCCTGGAATATGAGCTTGCTTTCTTACGATTTTTTGATTCGAACCCCGATCAGAATGAGACAAATCGAATAATATCTATTTCAGGTTAAGTAATATCTATTTCAGGTATTTGTTTCAGGTTCCTACAATCCCGCGCGGTATCCCGCAATTTACGGAAGTACGAGATTATTCCTGCTGGAGTTACTCTCGCAAACTTTTCTAAAGTTACTCTCGCACGCGGAATACGATTTTGCCGGTCACTAATTGTATGATACGTGGATTATAACCAGAATTTATTAGCTCTGCTTAATGACACTAAAATATTTTAAAATTTAGGAGGTTTTGACCATTCGCAATGAAGACATTGGCGATGAATTTTGTGAGTTTGGAATAGCTTCTGGAGGTAATTTTAAATTTTATTTTCAAAAAATAGGCAACTTCACTTAATTTCGGGGACGGCTATAAAATAATTGAGTTTCATATTGCTATAACTTTGTTAAAAATTAACAGTCTCTAGGTCGAATCTCCGTAAATTATATTATATTATCAAGTAAAACTATTCGATGTAACTATAAATATATCTAATTAAAGGTTCAGAATTATGGATATTTGGCGATCCGTTCATTCGAAAATATTGCACGGTAATTTTACAAGAATTTTTAATCTAGTCACACTCGTGATGTAATTTTCGTCTCATCTTAGAGGTTTATATTTCTAAAGGTTTATGATTTTGGTCAAAGAAAAATTGGTTTCGTGGCACAAAAATAATGAAAATATATGGGAGCTGATAATTATTATATCCCGGTTCTTCTAATAAATAAATAAGTTTAAATATCTTTTAAATACTCAAATAAATCTAATTCACTCAGACAATAATTATACAAGTTTAATAAAGTTTATTTTAATAAGTTGGGGTTAAGTTTAGGGAGCAAGTGTGATCAAGACGAGCTTGAAAATGGGTAAAAACAAATGAGTATTTATAGGGTAAGGAAATGGGCGGAAGAAGGTCAGACGAGAAAGTTGTAAAACATAGATAAGAAAGTAAATTATTTAAAATAAATGAGCGGAAGTTTAAGGTCAAAGTAAATGTTTGTTTTGAGGGAATGTTTTGAATATTTAAGATAGGAAAAAGATAACAAACATTTACAACATACATATTTGGGGCAATAAATATTTGAAAGTAATATTTTAAAACTAATTAATAAATTGTCAAATAAATGGATCCAACACTCCTTTCCCCTTTAGAAGAATATTCGCCTATTTGTTGCAACATGTATCCAACAATAATGTGATAATTTGATTAATTATCTAAACATGTCGATATATTGATAATAATAATAAAAATGATAATAATAACAGTAATAACTTTCTAATGAATACAAATTTTTATCAATAATGATAATTTGACAATTTTTTTATAATTATAAAATGTGGTTGAATTTTTTGGGTGCAAAAGTTAAAGCACCTGGGCTGGATGATTTTAGATGAATTTGAAAATATTAGCTAAGTTTGCTAGATAATTTCGACATTAGTTAAATTCTCGGACAACCCTTGGACATAACAATTCTGGTCGTTCCGTGATTAAAAAATTAATAATTTATAAATTCTAATCAAAAATATTAATCATTCATAATTTAAAAATATAAACAATTTAGATTAATCTGATAAAAACTTTTCATCATTAACATCCTATTTTTTTAATATATTTTTTCCATCTATTATACTCTTCTTCTAGCACATCTACCTTTAATTGTTTAAATTTTACTAAAGTTAGTGGATTTTATTGATAATTTCTGTTTATATTTATTGGTCTATTAGATTCAAATAATTTTTGGGTTTGTTTCCTTGATTTTGAACTTCGATTCCCGATAATTCAATTCAATTTATACGCATAAAACGTGACAACGCATAAAACGTGACAAAATAAAAATTAGCCAATTTTTTCATGACCCTAACAAGGATAGCAAGCCGACCCCGAAAACTCCGACCCCAAAGGCTCTCCCCGACCCAACACACCCGCCTCTGAAGAGTCGGGTTGCTACACTAGCCCTAACAGATAAAACGACCCAAGAAGAATTTCCTCGAGAGCCCCTCTTTAGACAATAATAATAGTTAACCAAAATATTAAATTTTTATGAAGGAATTTAAAATGCTTTCTCATAAAGTTTTTTTTCAAAACTTACCATTATATGTGTATACAATTTTCCAAAATTAATAAATTCAACCCTATAATTCAGATTGCTGAAACCATCTGTTAAATACTTTTCCCTTGTCATTTTTATCAATTTGAACCGACAACTAAAAAATAAATTTTTGAATTATTTAAAAACGGAAGGATTCTCTAATTAGAAAAAACTTAATTATGAGGCTCATTTCCTGCATCTTTGTCGTGTTTAAATGATCTAAAACGAGAAATCTCTGTTTTATTTCTCTGAAAACTCATATTGGCTATCTTCACTCTAAAATTATATTTTTTATTTTTAAACTATCTAGCGGATAATACCTCGTATTTAAATCATCATCTTCTCCACCCCACCCCCAAAAATCATTTGAATATCCATTAACTTTTCTGAGTTGCTCTACTGTTAGAGCCAGGACGCCCCCAATAAATCCGGGGTAGTATTCTCTAGTTAAAAATAAAATAAAGAGATATATAAATTTAGTAAGATATAAATAATTTATTAAAATCACTATTTGAGCTGCCCTATCCAAACTAAAAGATTTCTCATTCATATCAGGCAGTCTGTATGGTAAGGAAAGCTTAGTTGATAATAGGCTCAAGTAGAGATTTTAATATATGTTTAAGTTTCAAAGTTACTTGTAACCAATCCTTTCAAGATAAACACTTAAATGTTTAGTATGTTTCGGATCTGTTGAGCATCTATATAAAATTTTGTCATTCTCTGGATACGTATCAACATCGTGAAATATGATACAGTCAAATGGATAAACTCTTATTGCCTTTAAAATAAAAATAAATATGCAGATTTTTGGTTATCTTTGTCCCCTCCAATCCCTACAATTACTTTTAGTCAAACCCCGGTCATCTTTTACCCGAAAATCTTCTCCTTGACGGATCAAGAACCAACCTTATGTGCTTTAGTAAGTCAAGTAGAACGTGTTTAATTACTCTAATTAGGCTCGACCAGGGTTGTTTTTTACCCTATTTACAGGACATTTTCCCATTTTTGATCTTTTCGCCCTATTTTTCCCCATTTTTGAGTGGCTGCACCCCATTTTAGTGGTTTAGAAAAAACAACACTGGGCTCGACCAATGCTTTTTTAGCAAAGATTTGTTCGGAACTCGCCCTATAGAGCAGCACTTAGTACTCGAGCTAGGTTTTCTAAATACTTGGTATATATTTTGGACATTTAACACAGATGTTTAAATTAAAAATAATTATAATTACTTCCAAAACACCAATATTTGTTAGTCTTCCTTTATTAAAGGCAAAATTACCCATTTGTTCAACAACAAATATTGCATAATCTAATTGTTGTTTTTGTAAAAACCGATGAATATTATGAAGAAATGTTCGTAAATGAGGTTCTCTATTTCTAAAATATTTTTTTGTTCAGAAAATATTTTTGTGTTCAATATCTAACCTATAAGGCACAACAATAGCAACTTTCTGCCTGGATTTACATTCTTTAGGTCTCCAATGCCCACCTGGCCACAAATCTTTATATCTTTCCTCAATTTCTTCCAATTTTAGAGAACGCATATCTACATCTATTTTGCCTTTTAGATTTGGAGGGATTTCTGGACAGAGTGTTAAATTGTCCTTTAAATGTTTTAAAATACTTAAAAATATCAAGTTTAGAGGAAAATTCCGTTCGAAAGATACTATTAGGTAGTAATACAACCCTTTTAAATTTTTGAATAAAAATTAAGGAGCTCCTGGAATGCCTTCGAGAGCACCAACTTAGTACAGTTCTATGATTGATCCAAGATCCGGGTGTGTTTTTGTGGATATACTCGGAAAGGATTTTATAGTAAAGGAATTTGTCTATAATATCGTTACTTGTTTGACTCTCCAAATCTTTGATATTTCGATTAATTGAGGTCCAGTATTGTTTTCTTTCATTAAATTAGTTAATTTATTGGTGTTAATAGTGATTGTAGTTGTTTTATCGTTAACTAAATCTTCCTTCACTTGCTTCTTCCCTTCTTTTTTATCTTCCTTCTTCTCCTCCTTCCTCTCTTCCTTCCTCACTTCCTTTTTCTCCTCCTTCTTTTCATCCTTCCTCACTTCCTTCTTCTCGTCCTTTTTCCCTTCTACCTTTTTCTCTTCTTTCCTCTCCTCCTTTTTTTCTTCCTTCTTCTTCTCCTCCTTCTCTTCCTTCTTCTCTTCTTTCCCCTCTTCCTTCTTCTCTTCTTTCTTCCCCTCTTTACTCTCCTCTTTCTTCCCCTCCTTCTTCTCTTCAATTTTCTCTTCCGTATTTTCTTTTTTATCCTCTAATAAATTAATTTTATCCCCATCTTCAACTTTTTTAGGCGTAACCGAATCCATTTGCCATTTAATTAAACGTGAAATTTGTGTAATTTGTGCTGATTCTCTGCTAATAACAAATTCACGAAATAAATAAGCTGCAAATAGGGCCGAAGAAACAAATATTAGAACTTTTATGAAAGGTTTTACAGCCATTTATTGAAGAAAACTGGAAAAAAAAATTTTTTATGAAATTGTTTGGAAATGAATCTTGAGTATATTTTTGTATTTTTTGATTTCCCCTCATATGTATCTCCCATACTCCGATTTAGACCACTCTCAGGGTCTGTATCTCAGTCCATAGTTGAGTCCCAAAGATAATTTTGGTGTGATTCAACTCATCTCGCTGAGCTCTTTCGATTGACATATTAATTTTTCGGATCGGAGTATGGGAGATATGGAGAGCTTTTACCTTGATTTTATTCGTTTATTAACTAATAGAATAATAAAAGTAATGGTCAGAGGTGTGGTCTTGCTAATTTGTCAGGGAATAAAATGCCTTTATTAGGGAATAGGACTGCTAATTTTAAAAATAATTGTGGGCTGCGGATTGTGTAAAAAATTCCTCCCAATTTTTTCGATAATAAGTCCTAACACGCTCGCTCCTATGTTTGTCATTAAAAATGTAAACGCAAGAACGCTGCTGTAATGATTTTTATGACACATTTCCAATAAAAATAAAAAATTAAATTTAAATGTTTCATGTTTTAAAATTTTTTATTGAATTAAAAAAAAGATTTAAATAAATTTATTTCGATTAAAATTCATAGTATTTATTGTGAATTAAAATTATTTTAGATTTTACTGGTGTAAGGATGATTCACCCAGCAGCATTTAAAACGTTTAGGCGGGGGATAAACGATCTAAAATGGAAAAAGAGAAAGCATTAGTCGATGCCCCGGTAGCTCAGTGGTAGAGCTCCTGCATATAGTGAGCGAAAGCGCCTAGCAACAAGTAGTAGATGGTCGCAGGTTCGAATCCTGCCCGGTGGCTAAACTTTTGCTAAACTCCTATAGTATATTGACAGACTGGCGCTGTTTTTAAAGCAGGGAAGTCGGGACGGGTTCAGATAAGCTTTCAAAATTTTCTTTGAAGGATTAGGGTTCGTTGTTTAAGGTGCCCAGGTTTTAATCGGATTGAAAATTTTCGCTTGTTGGGTACTATCCAAAGCCTTTATAACAAGTGAACTTACAAGCTTTTTTATAGTCAAAAATAAATTTTATAAATTCATTAGTTCAAAGATTTTATTCAAAAATATTTTGAAAAATATTTTTTAAATGCTTATTTTATATAAAATAGGTATTTAAATAAAATCAAAATTGTTAAAAAGGTTAAAAAAAGGCAAACAAACAATTTAACACAAAATAACCAGCCAACATTAAATTATATTTTACACGATTTAATACGTGTTAAAGGAATGGGAGGTTTTTTGATTGAGGTTTTTTAAATATAATTTAAAGAAAACTATAGATAGTAGAGATGTGCGAGACCGAAATTTTTCCAAGACTCAAGACCCAAGACAAAATTTTTTCCAAGACCAAGACACAAGACCAAGACCAAAACTCCAAGACTCAAGACCAAAAATCAAGACCAAATTTTTAAATCCCATAGGTCAAATTTTTGGTTTATTTTTTGTTATTTTGATACGATCACAGTCAACTTCAGCACAATCTCCTATAATTTCTAAAATCTACGCGAAATTCAAAGAAATTTGGAGAATTTATCCAGGTGGATAATCAATGAGATATATTATTTCAGAGGATTTGGGTGGATTAAAGGGATATTAGTGATATCAAAAGATTAAGAGGGATAGCCGTGGGATTTAGCGCCGCAGGCGAAAATTTTGGGAATTATGAAAGCAAAGAAGCCAAAAAATCTTCCTTTACCTGCGCCGCAGGCAAAAATTTTGAAAATTTTGGAAGGCCGTAGGCCAAAAAAATTCACATTTTCAGCGCCGCAGGCGAAAATTTTTTGAATTTTGGAGCTCAAGAAGCCAGATTTCTTCCATTTTCTGCGCCGCAGGCGAAAATTTTGAGGATTTTGGATGGCCAAGCACTAGGTCCAAAAAGGCCAAAAAACCAAGACCAAAAAATAAAACCAAGACAAGACCAAGACAAACACCCCAAGACCAAGACCAAGACCGAAAAAAAACCAAGAAAAGTCTTGGTTCCAAGACCAAGACCAAGAGTCTCGCACATCTCTAATAGATAGGTACACATGTTTTCCTCATGAAATCAAAAATTAATAAGAATGATTAGAATAGGAAAAAAATTTTTTTAATAATCTAAACATCAGTGAAAAATTTGAGGAGGTTATTTCTGAAAAAACGTTGAGGAAGAGGGTTTCAAAAAATAATTCAAGGTATTTGATCTAACTTAATGTTCATAGGAACAACTCTTGATGATGCAGTAGATTAAAAATTTGAAGTTAAATTTAAAATAAATGATTCTTCCAAATATGCCAATAAAAGTGTCTCTACAGGGTGGGGCAAAAGTTCGGCGACAAATGTTTTTTATAAAATCTATTGTACAAAAAATTTATTTAAGATAAAAAACTAATAAAATATAATCAATAGGATATAATAAACATTTCTTTAAAGTAATTTCTAAAAATGACCGACCCTGACTGAAATACACGCATCCAAACACGTACGGATGTTACTCACAATGGTCGCGCATTATTCATCGGTTATTTCGTTCCAGGACCGCTCCAAAACAATTTTCAGTTTCTCCGATGTTGCGTATCGGATTCGGCATACTTTTTGCTCCAGAAATGCCCAAATAGAATAATCCACTGACTTAAATCCAGTGAGTTAAAAGGCCTTAAATCTTTCCCCCAAAAACCAGGAAACAGCTCCCTACTGAGCTGGATTGTCGTTTTGGCTCCATGCGCGGGTGACCAATCCTGCTGAAGCGAGAATTGGTTTTCTCCGTAAAGCTATAACTCCCATGGATGCACAACCCCCCTCAGAATGTCATTTTTTTAGACTAGCATTAATTTTTACATGCATCACTCTGTTATGGCGACCAGCTGCGACCAGGCGTTTAATCCTTCGACATTTCTGAAGCTTCTGATGCTTCATTCGATAGATAAGGAAGATTGCGCTGCTGTTCTTGTAGCTCCGAAGTCTAAGCTTCACTCTGACCATTCTTAGGAGGTTCCTCGAGCTCATTCCGAGATCTGAGGCCGTTTTTCACATCGATTGTTCAGAAAAACCACGAATTCGGCATCTGACCCCGTTCATGTTTTCAGGCGTATCTGCGGTTAACGGCCGGCCACTACTAGGACGGTCCTGAGTATTTCCAAGCACAAGATATCGTTTTATTGCTTTGAAAACTAACATACAACAGATATCGAGCCGTCTAGCGATGCCACATTTTCGAACATTTTTAAAATACAAAGAAATAATTAAAGCACGATTCTTTAACATTCTGTAAAATTTTTACTTTATGAGATAGGAAAAAATTTCCAAGATAAAATGTGTAGAGCACGAATCATAGAATATGGAAAATCTAGACAAAAAGCAAAATATAAAGTAAATTTTAAGATAGGACAAAATAAAATTTGTCGCCGAACTTTTGCCCCACCCTGTATTAACACCCAATAGTTTTAATATATTCCTTCCATTTAGTATAATCTTCTTCGGGAATAATTGCCTTTAATAAAAATTTAAAAAATTATTTTAATCAAAAAATATTAAGAAAATATAAGCGATTTTGGGAGTTTATGCTTATAAGAGAAGTTAATGAAGCGCCCCAGTAGCCATTCGTATATTAATTAGCTAGTAATTTACTTATGGCCTCATTAATGATGTGGAGATGACATGATTTTTATTAAATATTTACCTTTATGTGAGTATATAATTTTCCATAATTAATAGATTCCACTCTATAATTTAAATTGCTGTATCCATCTGTTAGGTACTTTTGTTCAGTGAGGGCTAGAAGTTTATAACGACATCTATAAAATAAATAATGAATAGATAATACATGTATTTTTATTTTGGGATTATCTCCTCTAGAATTGAATAAGCCCCCTTTGTTTAAAGAAGTAAGCTATCTCTAATATTGATAAATTATCGTTTTGAGAGTTGGTCACCGACGGAGGGAGTGTCATGGGGAAAGCTTTTCGGGAGGCGGGGAATTATTTTATTTTTTACGGGTGGGGCGGGGAAATTTTAAATAATCTCTCAGATTCCCCGACTTTCGGGGACGAGGGCGGGGACCAACCCTAGTTTTTAGATAAAATTTCACAAAGAAGAATGATAAAATAGAGCCCGGGTAATCAAAGTTCGAAGAAACGTAAAATTATTTTAAAAATAACTCACGGATGAGGCTCATTCCCACGATCTCTTTTATGTATGAAATTTTTAAAGCGAGAAATTTCAGTTTTACTTCTTATAAAGCTCATGTTGGCTAACTTTACTCTAAAATATTTTTTATTTCAAGATATAACTAATATAAAATACCTTTTATTTAAATCATCATCCTCTTGACCCCATCCCCAAAAATCATTTGAATATCCATTAACTTTTCTCAGTTGCTCTACTGTTAGAGCGAGAACGCCGCCAACAAATTCTGGATATAACTCTCTAATGATTAAATTATTAAGTTGAATAATAAAATATTTATTTACTTATAGCCCGTACGTTCCATATAAACACTAAAATGCCTAGTATATTTTGGATCTGTTGAGCATCTATATAAAAGATTGTCATTCTCTGGATATGTATCAACATCGTTAAATATAATACAATCAAATGGATAAACTCTCACAGCCTGAAAATAAAATACAGTAAACCTTCTATAACCTCTAGTTAAAGAGGTTTAAGCTGTTCATAGGGGTCTTATCTAAGCATTTGGAGCCTAGAGAGGGTTAGAACTCATATAGTAAAGCGGCTGGGTTATAGCTACTTCTCCCCTTCAACTAGTGCAGAAGGTTGATCGGCGGCTGGGAACGAATCAGCATCTTCAGTAGTTCGGACTGATGTGTTATCCATTACACCACGGCGCCTACTGCACAGTCATAGGAATTAAATATGTAGCTATATGCTTTACATTATAATAATAATCTTTACTTCTAAAACGCCAATATTTGTCATTCTCGCTTTATTAAAAGGTAATTTGTTTCCCATTTGTTCAACAACAAATATTGCATAATCTAATTGTTGTTTTTGTAAAAACCGATGAATATTATGAAGAAATGTTCGTAAATGAGGTTCTCTATTTCTAAAATATTTTTTGTTCAGAAAATATTTTTGTTTTCAATATCTAACCTATAAGGCACAACAATAGCAACTTTCTGCCTGGATTTACATTCTTTAGGTCTCCAATGCCCACCAGGCCACAAATCTTTATATTCTTCCTCAATTTCTTCCAATTTTAGAGAACGCATATCTACATCTATTTTGCCTTTTAGATTTGGAGGGATTTCTGGACAGAGTGTTAAATTATCCTTTGAAAATATATTTTTAAATAAAATAGAAATTTAATTCACGGAAGGGCTAAATATACTCAATCCTCAAGTTAAGATATTTTTCAGATTTTGTTTAACCACATAGGTGGGGGAGCTGATCAGCAGGGATCTGCTATCTTCATTCGCCTTTCGATTTTTAAGTTGTGGCAGGTCTCACCCTGCTTCCTAGCAACCCCCCTCCAAAAGATACACCCTTGTCCGATCCAAGCGTTATTAGCAGGGATCAGTGCTTTTGGATTTGGCGGATCCAATGCCTAAAAAAGAGTTCGTCTATATAATCAAAACTTTACTTGTTCTACTTTCCAAATTGTTGCTAGATCTTCTTCAACTGGCAGAATTTTCTCAGCTTTGTATTCTTCTTTATTTTCTAATTTTTGAGGTATTTCTACTTCAATTTTTGATTTAATTTTATTTAAATTTATTTTTGATATTTTTCTCAATCCAATTTCATTAATTATTAAAAACGCTGCTATTAATGCTGCTATAATAATTATTAATCCTTTAAGTAATGATGCATTACTCCGAGGGTTAATTTTGTTTGTTTGGTTTATAAACATTTAAAATATATTGAATAATTTTCTAAAATAATTATTAAATTTCTTTGTCTTTTTTCAATAGTTGAAGGAAATTTAAACACTGGAAATAATTTGGAATTTTGTGAAACAAACAAGAAGCGTAAATCTGGAGTTGACAAAATACTGGAGTTGGGAGTTGATCTAGGAGTTGGCAAACCCGTTTATGATTTAATATTTAACTCTCAATAAAATCCTAATCTTTCTTCCTTCAATAACTTACCCAGCTTTCTCGCGGGTTTCACGGTGCCTTTTTTGTTAATCTATTCCAAAACCGTGATTCACTGATCTACAATAAGAACAAGAAAAGAGCTTCAACCTTAACGTGAATGTGTTCCTTAACCTAAGAGCCATTTATTAAAATTCGGATAGCCACTGGATAGGAGACTTTAACGATTCTAGTCTACCTGCAATATTAATAAATCCAAAGCTGACTAATGCTTATTAATAAATGTAAAGAATTTTTATTAAATTTTGCAAAAATCATAGCTTTGAATGCAAATTTGTTTTTGGATAGAGAGGGGAAAATAAAAATAGAAACAAAATAAAAATAAATTTTGGCAAATAGCTAAATATTTTTTTATTTTTCATTTGGCTCAAAATTTTTATCGTGTTGTCAATTTAATAAACTAATGATTAAAATATTTAAAGAGAGACAAATCCAGGGTCAGACACAGCCGGTTATTAACCTGTACACTCAGAAAACCGGGAAATCTCGGACATGGTTTGCGATTTCGAGTTTAATAAATTATACTCTAAAAATTTTCAGTTATAATTTAAAAAAATTTCATAGAAACTGTTATTTTTGGGAGGATGGGGCTAATGGGGCTATAAAAATTTTCGCGAATTTTGGACCCATCGCGGAAACTAGCAAAAAACTGGATCAGAGAATTCATCCTGAAAGCTCCCCTGATCCTGAAAGCTCTCAAATGAAATTCAAAAGCTCCCAAACGAGCGATCCTCTCGTTTTTGCTTTACAATTATTGGGCTGTGAGATAACTTTGTGGGCCAAAAATAATATACATAAATAAAAAAATGAATAATAATAAAAAAATTTTCCAAATTTGTGTTTTGTATCATCCATTAATAATTCACATGCTTTAATAAGAAAATATTTAAATTATTTGTGAGTTTTATTATTATTTTTTTATTTTTAAATAAAATTTAGTTTTTGCATAAATAAATCACTAAAAAATTTATTTATGGAAAAATTTTTTTTTGCAAAAGTAACGTCACTTTCTTATAGTAAAAAAAAGACAGCATACTACTAATGTTTCGCAGGAACCGCAAATTTGGCCGGAACCGGAGCCTGAACTGAAATTTTGACCGAATCAGGAACCGGAACTTCCAACGCAACAGTAGTACATACTAGGAAGCTACATATTAAATATTATTCAAAATCTAAGCTTTTGCTTAAATGGTCATTAATAAATTTAAGAAAATCTCTTGTTAAATTTACTCTGCCTGAATTTTTATATTAAAATTTGATGGGAGAAAAAAATATTAGAAATACGTATTTAATAAAAAAATAATAAAGAAATTTTTTAAAATTTTATTAAAAATTTTTTTAAAAGGCAAATAAAATTTCATTTTGATTTTTAATCATTTTTTTATTCTGTCGTCAATCTCCCTAATTAACCTGCCAGAAATATTTGAAACGGATAAGACTGCTTCTAAATAAATAAATTTAACTTTTGACCCTTTATTTATTAAAAAATATTATACATCTGCTTTGAATTTAAATTGTAAGTCAAAAACTTCCTTTAATATAAGACACGTCAAAAAATACTAACTAAATAAAAAAATCCGGCCAAGGCATAGGCAAAAATTGTCTCGTGGCAAAACATCTGTTAAAATTTGTTTGGTGAATGAAACATAAAATATTGTCTTAAGCCAAAACCTAAGCCTAAGACCCACTAGTCTTAAGCCAAAATCAACCCTACCGAGACTTCGTTTAGCGTTATTTTTTGGCTATGCGTTGAGTTTTTATTTCAAATATTTTACCACTAATTTGTTACGCCGAAGATCTGTGTCCAAAATTTGTGATCCCACAAAACCAAAATTATTTGTGATCCCACAAAACTATAGGATCAGTTATTTAAAAGATTTGTTTAGAGCTGTTTCGACTGAAAAGAATTTGGATTTTAATAAATTTTAAATTAAAAGTTACAGAATGTAATCAAAAATTGTTTAAGCATTTCAAAAGCTAATGTCCTTTATTATTCAAAATTGGGTTCCAAAATTTCTTATTAATTTAATTGTTAAAGAAACGAATGTTTTCTTATGTATTCTTCGGTTTCAACTCTTGGTACTTGTCAATGTACTAATTTTTTTATCTAAGAAACTATGATATCAAAGGTGGTTCAGTCTCTTAACTAAAAACTATTGGCTATTAAAGACACGAAGATTGGTAATTTTCTAAGGCACGAAACCAAGGCTACCGTATATGCTCGAATAATTACCCTCTCTCAAATAATTACCCTCTTTAATAATTACCCCCTCATTTTTTTACACAAATCTTAAATACAGGGTGCGGCAAATTTAGAGCACTTTTTCTTTTTGCCATAACTTTTTTCAAAATTGTTGAAATTTAATAATTCTTTTTTTATTTTATTCCTAACACTATAGCAAACTTGTTGATACCAAAATGCTTTTGAATTTTATATTTTAGACTCGTTAATTTTGCTGTCAAAGTTTGAGCAAAATTTTTCTGATAAAAATTAGTCTAGATTCACTGATATTAATATGATATGCGAGATTTTTATATCAATCGAATCAGCTCTTCAATCCGATTTAAATGACGTAAAAATCAGGCGGCTAACACTTAGATGCACTGAGTTACGGATCTATGAATGATAAATTAAAGAAAATTTGGAAAATATAAAATTTTTCGATAAAATTTTCAAAAATGGGATTATTCTCTTTTTCAATGCTCCTTAACTAGAGGAGTAGTTTGGTACCAAAATCATTAGGATTGAATGATTTTGAACGAAGTTATGATCAGTTAAACTTTGGCATGAAAAATGTTTTTAAATTTTCTAAACGTTCGGAATCACTTATCTTTACTATCAATTAACCAAATTTTCGATATTTGGTATCAACAAGTTTGCTAAAGTGTTAGGAATAAAATAAAAAAAGAATTATTAAATTTCATCAATTTTGAAAAAAGTTATGGCAAAAAGAAAAAGTGCTCTAAATTTGCCGCACCCTGTATATTAATAAAAAAATCATTGTTAATTTTAATTATTGAAACAGTTTATTAAATAATATCAAAAAATAAATCGATTCCCTCCTCGATTTATTGAGAAATACCCCAAATTTAGCACCTCCTCTCGAATAATTACCCCGTCCAGGGAGAGGTCGAAACAATAATTACCCAGGGTAATTATTCGAGCATTTACGGTATGTGTTTAAAATATTGCATATTTTTGTATTGTTTAGAACTTTTTTTCGATATAAGTAATTATGTAACTTTAATTCAATAACTAAATTAGGTAATTAAAATTTAAAAGTTTTTAAAAAATATTTTTAATCAGACGATTTAATCAATTCGCCTAAACTCATAATTACTAGAAAATATTAGAAAACTAACTCCCATACAATTCAATAAACTATTAGATAAGTTTAACTTGACTCAATTAACGTTAGATCCCCTATGTTATATCAGTTATCCCATTGTTTTTGTTTTTCCTTTCAAGTTACAAGTATACACTCTGTAACAAAATGATAGCGCCACCTAGTTTTCTTATCAATATCTTACCAAATATTAAACGGATATGTTTCAGATTTTGGCTATTATTATTATTATTACTATTAATATTTTAAAAAATTTATTTTTAAATCAACACTAAATGAAAAATTATTTTTTATCACAAAATTTAAAACAAAGTTTTCACATAATTAAGAAATAATATAATAATTTTTGAGGTAAACAAATATCAATATTTTTTATAAATAAGAAAACAATATTAATAGGGTTGGCGTATACTAGTGATGGTCGGGAGTTAAAAAAAAGCCGAGAGTCGAGACCGAGAGCTCTAAAAATCCGAGCAATTTCCCGACCCAGAACCGAGAGTCTCTACAATCACTAGCGGATACGGATAGAGTGAATTCAAAAAAGTCCGGAGAGCCGAAGATTTCGATTAGAGCCTGGGCTAGAATTCAACTACAATAATCGAGATCGAATTTAGGAAAAGATCGGTTCGATAACCAATATTTTTGTTCGATATCTACTAGTCTGATTCGATCTCTAATTTGAATTTCTCAGGATATGCCAACCCTGTTGATAATACAATGTATTTTTCAGAGTACCATTTTGTTGAAGAAATAAAATTTTTTGAAGCGCAAAATTTTTTTTAGTTTACAGGATCTTCTCTCCAAAAAAGCCAAAAATATTTAATAAATTAACACCCGATAGTTTTAATATATTCTTTCCATTTGTTATATTCTTCTTCGAAAACATCAGCCTTTAAATAAAAATAAATTTATTAATAAATTAAGACTTCCGAACTTAAAATTATATTCAAAAACGATAATAAAACTCATCAAATTTTGTCTTATCGAAGAAAATTGTTTTCATTTATGTTAGACTTAAAGCTATATTCCTTGTATCAAGTATTCAATTAATCTACCTTTATGTGAGTATATAATTTTCCATAATTAATAGATTCCACTCTATAATTTAAATTGCTGAATCCATCTGTTAGGTACTTTTGTTTAGTGATGCCTATAAGTTTAAATCGACAACTAAAAAATAAATTTTGATAAGCGATTAATTATTATTCTATAATATATCTTAAAAATATATCCACTATCTGTAGAGTGAGTGTTTATTAAATTGCCCAATTAATATCTAGATATAGGTACAGATTTATGAGAGAATTTTTCATAAATGTAAGGTAGCCCCCCGGCCCCTCGACGATTTTTTGGCAAAAACCCCGACCCGAACCCCAAATGCTCTACCTCACAAACCCCGATCCCCGACACAAACCCCGAGTCGGGGTATTTCAAGATCCTAGCACCGGGGGCTGAACCTTAAGTCTTGCAGTATTTTTCTTAGCTAATTTACTTTTTAAGATAAAATAGATGCTTAAAATGAAGGAGAATATATAAATTAATTATGTAATTCAGAAGAAGCATTATTAATTAAAAAGTAACTTACGGGTGAGGATCATTTCCATGATCAGTTCCATGTTTAAATGTTCTAAAACGAGAAATTTCAGTTTTATTTCTCTGAAAACTCATATTCGCTAATTTTACTCTAAAATAATTTTTTTATTTAAAAAATATCATTCGAAAACACCTTGTATTTAAATCATCATCTTCTCCACCCCACCCCCAAAAATCGTTTGAATATCCATTAATCTTTCTGAGTTGATCTACTGTTAGTGCCAAAACTCCGCCAACAAATTCCGAATATAACTCCCTAATTAGTTAAATTATTAAGTGGAATAATAGACAATATATTTACTTACTTATATCCACCCCTTTCAAGATAAACACTCAAATGTCTAGTATATTTCGGATCTGTTGAGCATCTATATAAAAGATTGTCATTCTCTGGATATGTATCAACATCGTGAAATACAATACAATCAAATGGATAAACTCTCAAAGCCTTAAAAAATATTAGAATAGTGTCGGCCTTGATTATAAGGTAAACGTCCATGGGGCTGAAAATGTATATCTTATAATAAGATGTGACATAATTAGGAGGTGTCAATTAGATCCCCCAACTCACAACCCAGTTGTCAACCAGAGGTGTGTCGGAACAGTCAGAGGTGTCGGAAATCGGAACTTTCGGAAATCGGAAATGGCTCAAAAGTCGTAACTCGAAAATCGGAAATCAAAATTTTTTTCGGAAATCGGAAGCAAAAAAACGTCGGAAATCGGAATTCCGACACAGCTCTGTTATCAACCATATTAAAATATGCCTCTTAAATTGAGAAGTATCTAGGATAAGGTATAGTATCTTATGCTGAGGTCCGTCTAAAGGAGAAAAAGTAACCTCTAAAACACCAATATTTGTCAGTCTTCCTTTATTAAAGGCAAAATCCCCAATTTGTTCAACAACAAATATTGCATAATCTAATTGTTGTTTTTGTAAAAACCGATGAATATTATGAAGAAATGTTCGTAAATGAGGTTCTCTATTTCTAAAATACCTATTTTTGTTCAGAAAATATTTTTGTTTTCAATATCTAACCTATAAGGCACAACAATAGCGACTTTCTGCCTGGATTTACATTCTTTAGGTCTCCAATGCCCACCGGGCCACAAATCTTTATATTCTTCCTCAATTTCTTCCAATTTTAGAGAACGCATATCTACATCTATTTTGCCTTTTAGATTTGGAGGGATTTCTGGACAGAGTGTTAAATTGTCCTTTAAATGTATTTGCTAAAATTTAATTTTTATAAAATATTTATTCGATTCACAGTCTTACTTAATTATAAAATACACCAAACCCTCAATTTAAAATGGGGTTCCACATAGGTAAGGGAGCTTCTTAGACGATTGCCCCTACATGTTTAATAAAGGGCAATCGTTAAAGAATAAGATTTTTCCATCTCCAATAGGGTTGTCGGATCCGTATATCCGTATCCTAAAAAGGGCGGATATCCGGAAATTTTCGGTCGGATATCGGATTCGTATATCCGAAGAGTTCCAACTATCGAAACCCCTAATCTCCAAGGCTGTTTCTACTGTAATTCAAACAAAAATTTTACTTGTTTTACTCTCCAAAGTTGTGCTATTTGGATAAGTTGAGGATCATTATTATTTTTTGTTTTTATTAGCTGATTTAATATTATATTCTTCGAGTTAGTAGTTGTTATAGTAATTTTTGCTTCCTTTTGTTTATTTTCTTTTTTAATTTTCTCACTACTTTCTTCATTCCTAACTTCATTTTTAACTTCAATTTTATCCTCGTCTTTATTTTCTACCGTCCCTTCAAGTTCACCTTTACTTTTTCCATTATTTCCCATCTTTTGAGGTATTTCTTCTTCAATTTTCGATTTAATTTTAATTAAATTTATTTTTGCTATTCTCCTCAATTCTACTCCATTAATTATATCATTTAATATATAAGCTGCTATTAATGCTGTTATAATTATTAATAACCCTTTAATTAATGTTGCCCTATTTTTAAGGTTAATTGTGCTTGTTGAATTTATGGACATTCAAATACACACTAAATTAATATAAAAATATTTTTTTAAATAATTATCTAAAATATTTAAAAAATTTTTTGGATGAGGTACTTAAATAAACGTGTCTGTTAGTTAAAACAAGAGACCGTATCAAGACGAAATCTCGATCGAAAATCTCGGTTATCAAGATCGAGAATTTTTCGAGAGCTCAATCTCGATTCTTATACGACACTCCCAGTCCGGTCTAGTTGAGACATGCAAGGTGTAACTAATTTTTTAGAAAATAGTAATAAATGAACATATTTTTGGTTAAATACCAGACCTGTGCACGGATACGGATAATGGATACGGATAGCAAAATCCGTGTCCATGCACAGGTCTGTTAAATACTTTTAATTTGTCCCTAGGTATTTACAGGTTTTAAATTGTTGATCAAAGGTTATTAATTTATAAAATAAACATCCCTATCTTTGAGTTAAAGAAATTAAAAAATATAGTGGATAAATTTGAATTTTAAGAGACTAATTTAAAAATATAAATAATAAAAATACATAAAATTCTACAAAAATCAGAACAGAAGGTTTAAATTAAAAGTTAGAAGTTTATAAAATAAAATTTTTTTATCGTGTTGTCAATCTATAAATTCTGCCAATTTTTAAAAAAGGCTTAAAATTATTGCTTAAATATAAAAATCATTTTTTTAAATTTTGGAACACCTGCCTTTTAAATTTAAATGAAAAAAATTTTTTAGAAAGAAAAAATTTAAAATGTTGCCCTTTTTAGCTTCTTTTATTAAATATATGTATGTAGACTTTGCATATTTTAATTTTTTTTTATTTTTTTTATTAAATTTTTATCAGTAAAATTGTATCGATTCAATTGATAAAATTGTTTATTTGAATTTATTAAAGTGTTTAATTTTGATTTTGAAATTTTTTTTGGATTTAAATTTTTTTAAATTTCCCTTTTTACTTTGTCGTATAAAAAATTCAAAAAATATTTTTAAATGTAATAATAGAAAAAATGCAAATTAGAAGAATTTGAAATGATTTGTCAGTTCAAACTCTTCTCGAAAAATCGACGATTTATTTGATTGAAATTTTGAAGATGTTTCACGGAGATGGGTAGACAAAAAACAAAAATTGTGCTAGTGATTAAGGTTGGCGAATATCCTGATATCTGAAAATTTCGGTTCGGATCCGGTCCTCGGATATCCGATATCCGAACCGAAATTTTCGGATATCCAGCCGTTTTCGGATACGGATATTCGGATACTTACTAGTGATCACAATATAAGAATATTCATGATATTTGCAAATTAAAAAAAATATTTAAAAAATAATTAAATGTTAAGCTGTTTATTTATCAAACACAAAAAATTTTATTTTAAAATTTTAATATAATATTTTAAATAAATTTTTTAAATACTTAAAAAGTTCTAATAGTAAATATGTAAACAAATAAAAACTTTAACAATTCTAAAAAAAATTTTTTTCAAAGGTAAAGCATAAAAATTTTATTATGTTCAATAAAAATATGAAGAAATTATAAGAAAAGTGTGATAATAAAAAAATTTTTTTTTATTTTTTTTGAATTTTTTTTCTTTTTTCGATTTTACAAAACCGTTTAAAGCAAAAAAATTTAAAAATATCAATGAAAAAAATTTTGTTTTGATTTATTTAAATAATTAATAAATGAATGAAAACAAATAAAGCAATATTTAATGGAAAAGCAAAATTCAAACAATAAATGGAAAAAGATAAATGAGGAAAAAAGTAAATTAATAAATTTGGAATGAATCACTATTTAGTAAAAAATAAAAATGGAGACAAACAAAATTTTATCTAAAAAATATTTTTAAATTGTTTCCTAAATATTTTTTTGAATAATTAACAATAAAATATGTTTAAAATTAAATTTTAAAATAAAAATTAAAAAATTGAAAGAATTTGGAGTAACCAATTTCTAAGGCATAGAATAACATGTTTATCACAAACGTAAATAAAAGATTAATGAAGGTGGCAACACAGTAGTATAAGATAACTAAGGATCAGAGGTGTTTTTCAACAAAATATTTAAAACACTAGTAATTTTAATCCCAAAATTAAATTTTGATTTTTTATTAGTCTTTTAGGTACCTGAGGACAATATTTAAACGATAATTTTAAAAAAATTGGGGTCTAAAAGGAGAAAACACAAAAATAGTGGTGGAACTGTAGTTATGTGGAGCACTGTAAATTGGAAGAGCCGGAAATCGGAACTGGCTCAATAGTCGGAACTCGGAAACGGAAATCAAAATTTTTTCGGAAATCGGAAGGAAAAAACATCGGAAGTTGGAAATAGGAAAATATCTATATTTTATATCATTATTGGTATCATTTTTGGGTCGGATTGAGAAAAAGTCTGGAGTGTTTTAAAAAATTTCCCGGGTTGGGGTTCACGCCGATGATTCCTGATTTTCTATGAAATCAGAAAAGTTTAAAAATTTTACAAGTTTACAAACTTTTATTTTTACAATTAGCCTTATTTTTAAATTGAATTAAACATTTTTTAATTTAAAAAATTAATAAAGAAAAATGGCAATTAAAGGAGATATCCGATAAGGCAAGCAGAGAGAGGAGAGAAATTTATTAAGCTGTTTAGCAGGGATGTAAATCAATTTTACATTGATTAACGTTTATTAATTTTTATTGTCAAAAAGCTGGCATTGGGTACATTTTAGGTACATTTTAGCAACAAAACATTTGCTAAGAAAAAGTTTTTTAAATAATTATGGGGGTTTAAATAAAAATTTTTTAAATTTAAAAAATTAAGAATGAGAAATGGCAATTAAAGATGGCATCCACGGTAAGTGGAGAGAGGAGAGAAATTTATTTAAGGTGTTTAAGAGGGATTTTATTAATTTTTATTGTCGAAAAGAAGGCATCTTGTTTAAAAAAATTTTTAAACATCTAAAAAATATTTCTAAATTGCTTCTTAAATATTTTTTAAAATAATTAACGCTAAAATATGTTACAATTAAATTTTAGTTTACAAACTTTTAGTTTTAACAATTGGCCTTATTTTTAAATTAAATTAAACATTTTTAAATTAAAAAATTAAGAAAGAAAAACGGCAAATAAAGGAGATATTGTAAGGATGATTCACCTAGCAGCATTTAAAACGCTTAGGCGGGGGATAAACGATCTAAAAAGGAAAAAGAGAAAGCATTAGTCGATGCCCCGGTAGCTCAACGGTAGAGCTCCTGCATATAGTGAGCGAAAGCCTAGCAACAACTAGCAGGTGGTCGCAGGTTCGAATCCTGCCCGGTGGCTAAACTTTTGCAAACTCTTTCTGGTGCCGCTAACAGGGATCCCCACTTGCTGCTGGGTGAACCAGCCGATCCACGGTCATGGCGCTTGACCGAGGGACCGGTCTGATGTAGGGATGGAGATGTAAGGATGATTCACCTAGCAGCATTTAAAACGCTTAGGCGGGGGATAAACGATCTAAAAAGGAAAAAGAGAAAGCATTAGTCGATGCCCCGGTAGCTCAACGGTAGAGCTCCTGCATATAGTGAGCGAAAGCCTAGCAACAACTAGCAGGTGGTCGCAGGTTCGAATCCTGCCCGGTGGCTAAACTTTTGCAAACTCTTTCTGGTGCCGCTAACAGGGATCCCCACTTGCTGCTGGGTGAACCAGCCGATCCACGGTCATGGCGCTTGACCGAGGGACCGGTCTGATGTAGGGATGGAGATGTAAGGATGATTCACCTAGCAGCATTTAAAACGCTTAGGCGGGGGATAAACGATCTAAAAAGGAAAAAGAGAAAGCATTAGTCGATGCCCCGGTAGCTCAACGGTAGAGCTCCTGCATATAGTGAGCGAAAGCCTAGCAACAACTAGCAGGTGGTCGCAGGTTCGAATCCTGCCCGGTGGCTAAACTTTTGCAAACTCTTTCTATATCCACGGCAAGAGAGAGAAATTTATTTAAGGTGTTTAACAGGGATTTTATTAATTTTATTGTCGAAAAGAAGGCATCTTGTCTAAAAAAATTTTTAAACATAAAGAAATTAGACCAAGGTAGAGCGTATTGCGGATTTTAAAATTAAAGTTGCGGATTTCGGCCGCGAAAATTTTTTTTTCAATTTCGTCCAGCCCTGGATTGAACTTTTTAGGAAATATTTTTTTAAAATATTATTTTGAATATTACTAAAAGTATCAAATATAAAATTTGTTTATTGAGGGATTAAAAGAATGCGAAATATTGCGATATAGGGGCTTTGCATATTTATTTTTTGAATTTATTTTCTCTGAATAATTTAAGAATGTATCCTATTCAAATAAATAATTTTACTCAGAAAAACAAAAAAAAAATTATTTTTAAAAAAATTAAAGACAAAAATTAATTTAAAATATTATTTGGTTGACGTATTTACTCGATTAATTCCCCTCTCTCGATTAATTCCCCTCACTTGAATAATTCCCCTTGCTACGGATGAGTTGAAACAATAATCCCCCACCCCCAAATACCCTACTATGTACACGTTCAAATTTCAAAACTCGAATAATTCCCCTCCCTTAAATAATTCCTCATGCCACGGATGGGTTGAAAATAGGGGGAATTAACTCCAGGGGAATTAATCGAGTAAATACGTTAATTAAATATTTTTTCGAAAAAATAAATTAAATTTTTAAAGCACAAAAAAAGAATTTTTTTGACTAGAAAGCTTATTTCCAAATTTTCTCCAAATATTAACACCCAATAGTTTTAATATATTTTTTCCAATTAGCATATTCTTCTTCGGGAATAATTGCCTATAAAAATTAAAGGTTTAGTAATTAAATAAGTGGTCGGATCAGAAAAATATTTATTTATTAGTAGGGCGTGTCAAAATATGCACGGAAAAAATTGGCTAAATTCACTCAAAATCTGCCAAAATATGCACTAAAGTACCGAAATATGCAAAAATATGCATTAAGAACCGGGTCCTAAAGTGCTCGGACCGATGTAAAAACACCATTTTTGATCGTTTAAGCTCATGGCATATCTGCATGCAAAATTGCATTTGCATGTTTTGACACCCCCTATTTATTAGCTAAATTATTTAGTCTACTTTGTAAGGATTTTTAAAATCCTAGGCCTGTAAATTCGATAGATAATCTCCAATTTTACAATCTTTTTTCCATAATATAACACTTAATCTACCTTTATGTGAGTATATAATTTTCCATAATTAATAGATTCCACCCTATAATTTAAATTGCTGAACCCATCTGTCAAGTACTTTTGTTTGGTAAGGCCTAGAAGTTTCCTTCGACATCTAGAGAAAATTTTTTTATTCTACAAGTATTTCTTCTAAAATATATCCACATTTCAATAAATTTTAGAATTTCTGAAGTTCCCAGGTTTTTACACTCACAACTCCATCGAAAAATTTATTTGATGTGAAATGAAAAAGGGGATGTCCGGAAACAGAGATTAGGGTTGGGGCTTTCGAGTCGGGCCGAAGTTTGACTCATTTTTTTCGGAGGTCTTTTTCGGGCGGGCCTAACCGAGTCTTTTTCAGGCCAAAATTCAATGCCCGACTCGATCTTTCGGACCGGGCCTTTTTTATATATTTTTTATCTTTCGCCCCAACTCTATCTAGCATGAAGAATAAAATGAGTTGGACAATGCAGAATTAGTATAACTCTAAAAATAACTCACGGATCAGGGGCATTTCCACTATCCCTTTCGTGTATGGTATTTCTAAAGCGAGAAATATTTGTTTTGCTTCTTGTAAAACTCATATTGGCTAATTTTACTCTGAAATTATTTTTTTTATTTAAAACCATGTAACGTATAATACCTCGTATTTAAATCATCATCTTCTGCCCCCCACCCCCAAAAATCGTTTGAATATCCATTTACTTTTCTGATTTGCTCTACTGTTAGAGCCAGGACGCCGCCAACATATTCTGCGTATCTCTCTCTAATAATTTGTTAAATTATTAAAATTTAAATTAATAAAATGAAGGTTATTATGAACAAAATTAATCCTCAAAACCCCAGACTGATACAAAATCTCAAATCGATTCCAGAGAACCCCAAACCTTCAATTACTACTAATTAGCTAAAAAGCAGGTTTTTAAGAGACGCTGTGGGACAGGGGTGAGCGCAAGAGACAATCGTGAAAAACGCAAAACGCAACGCAAGACCAAAATTTAACGCAAAACTCAATGCGATCACTCCTGTATGGGGTAATCTCTAGTTTGTCTTACATAAAATTAGCGATTAACGCCTTGTGGTTTTATCTTTACAGAAGACCCCCAATTTTATGTTAAACACATTATTAGCGTCTGTCTCCGAGGTCCTCGCGAATTTTAAGTAAACTTGGTTAACTTTAATAAAATATTTACATATATTTAGCCCTTTCAAGATAAACACTCAAATGTCTAGCCACTTTCGGATCTGTTGAGCATCTATATAAAAGATTGTCGTTCTCTGGATACGTATCAACATCGTGAAATACAATACAATCAAATGGATAAACTCTCAAAGCCTTTTAAAATAAAAATCAGATTTTTTGGGCTTATTTTGCCTATCACAAATAGAGAGATAAAAATGATTTTCAAAAATTAAATTTCTGCCTAGAAAAAATATTTTTGCTAAAATTTGGAAGAATAAGAATAACTTAACAAGGGAGCAAGCCAACTCACCGCAGAGCTATAACTTTCTATAGAATTGTCGAATCCGGGACGCCCTAGTAATGATTCGATTCAGCTCGTCGAGGCGCATTGAACCATACCAAGGCGTCACGGATTTGACAATTCTGAACGAAGTTATAGCTCTGTGGTAAGTTGGGCTCACTGTATGTTGGAATGTGCCCTTAACGGATACTTTGAAAAATTTTATTTAGATCTAAGTTTATCCCATGCAATTTTTATCTGAAAAGGAACCATCATTCACTGTCAGTGCGAATTTGATATTTTTTGTTACCATTCGATAGAGGACCCTCGACTTCCTATTGTGACATGATAGTAGGGTTTCACCGGAACCGAACTTTTGACCAAAACCGGATCCAATTTGAGTTCCGGTTCCCGGAACCAAAAAACACCGGAACTTTCCGGAACCGGAACTTCCGGTGAAACCCTACATGATAGCCGTTTTCACAATAGGAAGTTGAGGTTCTCTATCGAATGGTACCAAAAAATATCGAATTCGCACTGACTTTAAACGATGGTTTCTTATGAGGAAGTGACGTTTCTCGCCCTTAATATTTTTATAATGTCTATCACTGTCATTTAAAATAAAAAATAAATTTTCCACCTCCAAAACACCAATATTTGTCAGTCTCCCCTTATTAAAAGGTAATTTGTTCCCCATTTGTTCAACAACAAATATTGCATAATCTAATTGTTGTTTTTGTAAAAACCGATGAATATTATGAAGAAATGTTCGTAAATGAGGTTCTCTATTTCTAAAATATTTTTTTGTTCAGAAAATATTTTTGTTTTCAATATCTAACCTATAAGGCACAACAATAGCAACTTTCTGCCTGGATTTACATTCTTTAGGTCTCCAATGCCCACCAGGCCACAAATCTTTATATTCTTCCTCAATTTCTTTTAACTTTAGAGAACGCATATCTACATCTATTTTGCCTTTTAGATTTGGAGGGATTTCTGGACAGAGTGTTAAATTGTCCTTTAAATAAAATAATTAAAATCAGTGTTGGGTATAAATTAGGGTTTCACTCCCGTCCACGGGGACGGCGGGAGGGGGAAATTAAAAAAATTAAATTCCAAGGGACAGTTCTTGGAAGACCCACAGTCCTCGTCACAGTATTAAAAAACTACCGCAACCACCTTCCCCGTGAAAACAGTTACTTGCCCGTAAATTTTGAACCCTAGTATAAATACGAGCAGCTCAGCTTTTTCCTGTTGTAGCTGGAGATTGTGCTTAATTTTTAAAATGCCCGGAACAATTAACAAGCTATTAAAAATTTTGTACAACCGTGGTTAATATAGAGTATTAAAAAATCTTCAGAGCCCTAGCAAAAATTTTGAAAAGTATCAGACCCAAACCACTTTGTTCAAAGTGGTCGGACACAGGACGCTCTAGTATGTTTCGATTCAGCTCGTCAAGTCGCATCGAAACATACCAACGCGTCCCGTATTCGACCACTTTGAACAGTTATAGCTCTGCGGTACATTGGCCTACTCCTGACCCACAAAATATCCAACACCCAACACCAATTAAAAATTCCTCACTTGTTCCACTCTCCAAATTTTTGCTATTTCGATAAGCTGATCTTCTTTATTTTCTTCTTTCACTTTCAGAGTTATTTTAATTGTAGTTGTACTAGTAGTTTTAATTTCAAATTTATCTTCTTCCCTAATTTTCCCCTCAATTTCTTCTTCTCCAACTCGTTCAGTAACTTTAATTTCTTCTTTTTTCTGAGGCATTTCTTCTTCAATTTTTGATTTAATTTTAATTAAATTTATTCTTGATATTCTCCTCAATCCAGACTTATTAATTAATATATAGGCTATTATTAATGCTGATATAATTATTATTAACCCTTTGATTACTGTTGCTTTACTTCGAAGGGTAATTTTGGTTGATGGATTTATTGACATTTTAGACTGGATAAATAAATAAAAAAAATTTTTTTATAATTTACTAAAATATTATTAAACCTAGCTTAGGGTTGTCGATTTTTCGGTTCGGTTTGGTTCGGTTTGAAACTCACAACCCTACTCTAGCTAATACTAAAGTTTTGAATTGGGCCGCCTAGAATGAGCTTAGCCTGGTGTATTTAAGATAAGATAACTAACAGGATAGTAAGATAACTATAAGATACACTCTTGGGGTAAAAAAGTGTATCTTAGAATTGTTATGCAGCAAGTCGGCCCTCATGCATTTTAAAAAGCGGATTTCTCACATTCAAAAAGCGGAATCCTAAGGAAGACGAAAGCGACGTAGGGCTAAATGCGGAAAAATTGTGGAAGAGTTCAAAAAAAGTGGAATCTATAATATAGAGCCAATGCCCTTGTAAGTATTACAATAACGATATAAAATAATAATAAGGCCTAGCAAAGAATAGTATGTGGAAGACAGATAAGACAATAATGGTAATAAAATAATAGTGACGATAACAATGAGATTTAGACAGAATAGAAGAATGGCTTTTATACTAAAAGTTAATACCCAAGAATAATCAGGCAAGGCAAAGGTAACCTAAATGAAATATGTATAATGAAAGCTTATAGAGTAGTTGTCATTGATAAATTTAAAAAATTATGGATTAAATTAATTCTCTATTATTACCTAAAAATGTTGAAACACCTGCTTTTTCAAATTTAAAAATTTTTTTAGAAAGAATAGTTGCCTTTTTTGCCTTTTTTCTAAAAATACCTAAATTTTATTTTGCATAATCCTCATTTTTTTGTTAAAATTTTATCACTTTATTGATTGTTGACAACGTTTTTTATGTGAAATTTGTTAAAAAAAGTTTAGAGAAAGGAATCGAAAAAAATTTTTTTTATGCAAAAGCAATCTTCAATTTACACTCGGACTTAAAAATTATATACAAACAAAGACTTGTCAAGCCGAACCGATTCCCAAGAATCAAGAATACCGTATATTTTATTTAGGGATCGAGGTCGGGCTTTATGGGCCGGACTAGTACACATGTGTTCAAAAAATATTATTTTATTATTACGAGATGCATCTTAGTTGGCAGGTTCGCTTATAGCTACCCAGTTTTCAATAAAATTGAAAACTGTATCCTAAACTGATTTGTGAGTAGAATTGGATGTATTATGCTATATGTACATATATAAGGATTTCCCAATATTTTTAATAACATCAAAAAAGGCTTTAAAGATATTAAATTAATAAATTTAAAAATTACGGATTATTAAATTAATTAAATACCAAACTTACTTTTAAATAAAAAAATTTTTAAGGTATAAAAAATATTAAATAATACAATAAAAAATTTAAATTTTATTTTTGTAGTTTGGGGGATTCTCTTTTTAAAAGATAGAGAAGAGTAAATAAAAATTTGAATTTTGATTTTTACTTTATTTTTTTGTCGTGTTGTCAATTAAGTTAGAAAGGATTTATTTGAGAGAGTATTAAAGCTGTTGCTAAATTTGGTAATTAATTTGCCTCTATCTTAGACATGCGTCCCGTCAGATTTAAAGAGTCACATTTAGACTAGGACACGGATACTGAGTTTGGTATCCTTATCCGGATACAGACGGATATCCTCAGGCATTTTTATCATATCTGTATCCATATCCGTATCTGTCCTAGTTTGGTCACATCAGATTATGTGTGTGTCCAAAATTATTTTCTTAAATTATATCCAAGAAAAATATTCGAATGCATTTTGTTGGATCTACGGGAATTTTTGGCAATTGAGGTATGTACTGAGGAGCACCTACCAACGAGCGACTGGTGCCAGAAGGATTTAATCTATAAGAAGAAGAGGAGAATTTAAATATGGATGAGAGTTGGAAATAGTAATACAAGGAAGGGACTTGAACGAGAGCAAGTAGGGGCTGAACTTACCATATTTACTGTATCAGACATGAATGAAGCTCTATTTATCAATCATCCTCCAAAATGGTACTCAGTAAGAAGGGGGCTTTAATTCGAGGGAGGAGGGGAGGGGGCTTTAATACTGAAAATACTATTTTGTACTGATGAGACGTCTTTTTTGAGACGCTTATAAATTATTATAAAAATTAAACACCTGCTTTGATTTAACAAATTAAATTAAAATTAATAAATTAATAAAATTTTATTAAATTAAAAAAATTTAATTAAACAAAATAAAAATGATGTAAACATCGAAAAATTTTTCTAAAAATTTTCTATACCTCTTTTATTTTAATATACCGTAAATCTTTTAATAGAAGCACATATGCTTCTATTTTTCGATCCTCTCGTAAGGTGTGCTTATATTAGAGACTGTGCTTCTATTAGAAGATTTACGGTAATAACTAGAGATCGGACTGGGACCAAATCTCAAACAAAGACCAGCCCCTTCGTCGTATGAAGTTTCAAATGCAAATTTTAAAAAATGTTAACAAAAAATATAATTATTTGCAAATTTATTACTCTCCTAAAGATTTTTTCCTCTCAACATGAGTCAAGCAAGAACTGTAGATTCCTGCCGTTCTGTGAAAATCCTTGTATATTTGGAAACTAGGCGAAAACATCGTCATCGAGGTCTCATAATCAGGGTAAATGACAAAAAATTTTTATATAGAATATGGCAATATTATTCAATTAAAATTTTGTTCAACAAAAAATTATCAATCAAAAAAAAACTTGATCAAATCTCTCTTAAAGTTATTCCTAACCAGAAGTGGGAATGCTCACATGGCTTAATGAATTTTTATAATAATTTTTAAAATAATATTTAACTAAAAATATGCAAAATTACTTTAAAAATATTTTTTTAATTTAAATTAATTATTATTTTCCTCTTTTCAAAAAATTCTTCAATTACATGTTTTAACACACATAGACCCAACACAAGCAGAGCTACAACCATTTTGTTGGGATTTTTTATTACCAACATTTTGTGAAAAAATTGATTCTCCTTGACTATTACCGCCATTACTTATTTGAACACAATCGGGGCCATTTGAATAGCTTGGGACTCCATTTGTCTGAAAAAAATTTTTAAATTTAAAATTAGTCTAAAATTTGTGGAAAAAATATCTGACATAAAAAATGAGAGTAAGTGTAAAATTATATTTAGTAAGGTATTTTATTTTAATAATATTTAAATTAATTATTAAATAATTATTATTTCAATTAATAATTATTAGAACTATTTATATTTTAGTAATAGCAAGAGACAGGTCAAAGCTTAATCCCGGGCAGTCTTCGATCCTGCGACCTTCTGGCAGTTATTGCCAGGCGCTTTCGCACACCACGTACATGTGCTCTACCAACTGAGCTACCTTTCACCTTCTCTTTTAATATATCTTAAACCCCCGCCTAGTGAGCGTTTTAAATGCTAGCCAGCTGGATCTTTCTCTTCCTTACATAATCTATGGACCAGAAATTGAAAAATAATTTAAAAATTTAGAATGACTAGGCAAATTTAATTTAAATTTTGTTACAATTGCTAGACCTCCTACATACATTTTTGTTAATATCTCACCAAATATTATCCCGATTTATTTTGAATTTTGTGAATAAATAAAAGTGTATATAGGTGACTCATATTTTATTTTTTAAATTATTTTTTATTAAAATTATAGTAAGGTATTGGTAATTTTTTTAAATTTTTTTAATAACAGAATTTGGCGAAGCCAACAAATATGGGTATGACCGAAAATTTAATTTAATTTGCTACTAAAATTCTTTCTAGTAAATTAAGAGAGTGCTTATCAATCAGATAAATTTTCTAAACAATTGGAATGATTGCTAGTTTATCTACTTTAATTTATTTTTCTAGATTCAAAAGATTGGAATACTTAATTGAAGATATTAACAAAATTCCGGATAATATTTTAACAAAAACTAACCATTTGAAGACAACTACATTCCACTTTATAATTTAAATTAAATACAAAAATTGCTAAAATTAAAAATTTTGAAAGAAAATAGGACATGATTTTAATTTTAAAAATAAAAATAGAAATTATTAACATTTAATTTTTATATTCACCACAGAGTTTTCCAACTTACTAATTATTTTTTTAAATTTTAATATTAGTAATTAGAATGCAAAGAACTCTTCTTTTTTTAATTCTAATTAAATTAATTAATTAGTAAACAATTTTATTTTGTTGTTACGTATAATTAATTAATTTTTTTCGAATTTTTGAAAAACCCTCGAATATATAAACCTTCCAAAATTACTCAGAAGACAACTAATTTTAATAATAAAAATTAATTTCCTTCACTTTCCTTCAAAAAATGTTTCAAAAAAATATTTTTATTTTCCTTTTCTTAACAATTTTTATTTTAAATTTATCAACATTAATTAACGGGGATTGTGTCCAAATGTGCCAAGGAAGTTCTTGTTCTCAAATTTGTAAAAAGAAAAGAGATGTGAATAAATGGGTGGATATTTGGGGGAAATTTAATAATTCGAAAAGGAGGAAAAGAAGTCTAGAATCTTCTGCTATACTTTGCCGGGTTGGAGTTTGTAAAAGTGCTAGTGCTTCTTTGGGATGAATAAAAATAAAGAATAAAGAAAATAATTGAATTAAATTTTTAATTAAGAGTTAAATTAAATAATTATATTTTTTCTAAAATGTTGTTATTTTTAGATAATTTAAATAAAAATTTATTTACAATAAGGATAATTTATTTTGGTCAATTTTTAAACATGAATATAGGATAGAGACCGTACCGAAACGAGATCTTAAATTATGATTTTTATCGAGATCGAGATTTTTCGAAATATAATGTATTAACCTTATTAATAGCCCTCCCTCAAATAATTACTCGACTTCCATTAATTACAACATTCAGCGATAGGTTGAAATAATAATCCAGCCAAGGTCGAAACAATAATTATCCCGGGTAATTAATAAAAGTTTTACGGTTTTTGCCGTATAAAGTCTGATTCCAATAATGACAGTTCAATAATACAGTGGAATCTCGATATAACGACACCCCTCGGAAATCTACACTGTTTTCCAACCAGTCACAGAGTGGGTTGATTTTAGTAAAAAAATGAATTTTAATCAAAGAAATAAATCTTTTGAAGAAGAATAAATTAAAAGATATTTTTTTCGCCAAGAATTTTTTAAATTTTTACTGAAATTTTAAAGGAATTTGAAAATTTTAAATTGTACTTTTTATTTTAAACGAAATTAGTAGAATTAAATTTTAGTTAAAATTTTTTGGTTTGCCACATTTTGCCTTTGGTATGCCACATAAATATTGAATATATTTAAAAAATTTCAAGCTAATTTTCTAAAAATAATTAAAAATTAAATTTATTCACCTTCAAAAATTCCTTTAAAAAATTTTTTTGTTTAAATAAAATTAATAGAAATTAAGCAGGTGCGTTTTTAGAAACATAAATGTTTCTTAACTATGAAATATTTTCTTAAATAAGAAAGTATTTAATTGTATATCCTTTTTTAGAATTAAATATATTTTTCTATTTATTTTATTTTTGGTATTAATCTTTAGTATAATAGATTGTAGTATGGGAAATATTAATATAAATTTCTTAAATATTAAAAATAATTATTCAATTATTTAATTAAAAATATATTTCACGTCACCGAAACTTTTAAATAATTTAATTAGAGTTTAATTTTTTTTAAATTAGAGTTTAAATTTAGTTTAATTTAAATAATTTAATTAGAGTTTAATCGCTTTGATTCATCATTACCCTTTAAACAATTAAAAACCTCATACCTATATGCTTTGTATAAAATGAACTCTAATTCGGATCGGATTTTACTCACGAAAAATGAGGTCAAAAATGTTAGAACATTCTTGGAATCAAAATACCTACATAACTAAAAAAAGATAACGTGTAAGAGTATGTATATACTATAAGAAAGATTCCATTATATTGTAAGTTTTAAGGCTAAACTCTTGAAAATATTAAAGTTCAAAAAGCTGATTTTAATAAGCTTTTTAATTTAATAATTTTTGTTTACCAGTATTCCAATCCTCAAATTCTAGCTTAAAAATATAAAGATATACGTAAATAGTAGCTAAATTTTCGCAACTCTCTCTCTTATTTTAAAATATTTAAAAAATATTTTTTAAATATTTGTTCATCTGCCTTTAATATTGCTTTTTGTATTGATTCTAAATAATAATATTATTATTTACATATAACTCCCAATTTTATATACCCTTCATATTTATAAACAAATTTTTCTCCCTAAGGTGTATAGAAAAATAGGATCAGACTTTATAAGCTAAGATTAACGGATCTGAAAATATTAATAAAACAGAATGCCAATAATTTCATTTAATTATAAAAAATTACGAAATTCCCACGTATATCAGGGGTGGGTTTAGTCTCGTATCTCGTTAAATCCCATTCTGGTTTTTGAGGATCTTGTGAATCTCGTGTCGCCTATTTTGTGGGACTTGGCCCATCCCTCCCACAGTTCTAAGAAGCTTATCTGACCGAAAAACAAAAAATTCGGGGTCTTAAAATCAGTCGTGATCTGTTCTAACATTCAATATTGTAATCAACTCGACATTTTATTTTAAATATTTCAATTTTTATTTGAATGGAAATAAAATAACAATGTAATAAAAAAATATTTTTTTTATTTTCAAACAAATAATTTCTTTTGCTTTTGACACGTTTTATCAAACGTTTTAAGGAATATTAACGTTAACTCATACAAATATTATTCATATATTTTACCAAAAAATTTATTTTAAACTAAATTCTAACTATTCATTTTAATTGTCGGAATTTTTAAAATTGATTTAACACCCTAAATTTTAATCAAAAATTTTAATGGGCCAAAGTTTAGTTATAGAAAACCGCAATCCGAGATTTAGGATTGATTACCAAAAAAAACAAAAAAAAATTTTTGAGTAATTTTGATTGGATTATTTGATCGAATTATTTAAACTACCGTATATAATCTATTAATTACCCTCCCTCAAATAATTACCCCACCTCTATTAGTTACCCCCTCCATCGAAAGTTTGAAAAAATAATTACTCCTTTAAAAATAGTTATAATTAGCCGTCCTTAAATAACCTCTATTAATTACTTCGCCTCTATTCACTACCCTCTCCAGAGTGAGGTCGAAACAATAATTACCCAGGGTAATTAATAGAGTATATACAGTAGTTCGAAATCATACTTCAACAGACAGTTATTAATCCTTTTTTCAAGCGAAATATTATTACTTAAATTCAATCGTGCATATCTCATATCTCTATTTTATCTGTCACAGTGATTGTATTCCAACCTCCCATTAAAGTCCGATTTTTCCTGAATTTTGTCCCCTCTAGCTTAATCTGACACCTACTCGTACGTCACTATATGATCAGATCCTTCTGTCCTCTAACTTTTACATTAATGGCAATATTTTGTTTATTTAGGTGATAAAGCTAAATTTAGTTTTCAATAAAAAATTAAAAATTATTATTTAAATATTTTATTATTTTTGGCCAAATTAGGCAAAATATATTGATTTAAATGGTAAATATTTTTTATTCTTTTTTTTCTAATTTCTCTTGTTTTTAATCGCAAAATTCAAATAATAAATATTTTTAATCCTTTAAAACTTTTTTAAATAAATCTCTTCTCATAATTTAATAATAATTATTATTTTTTATTTATTGTTTTAAATTTTGAAATTTTGAAATAAATAAAAATATAAAGAAAGAAGGAACTGAATATTTTTTTGTTTTACTATAATTTCAAAATAATTTTACTATATAAAATTCTGTTGGGAATAAGTTAGGGTTTGTCCTTAAAGATGGAATTTCCAATCGAAAAAATTAATCCGCAATTTTGTTATTAAAGTCCAATAAACCAAGAAATTTCGCAAGCTGCAATTTTAGGAAATTCTAGTCTGCAATTTTTCAAGTCCGCAAATCTGCAATTTTAGGAAATTCTAATAATGGACATGGATTATTGCTAAAATCATTGTTTTTAATTATTTTGGTCGGAACTAAGGCGGATGTTAAGGATTTATAAACAATAGAAACAAAGCAGTTTCCTTGTCAGTAAAACAAAAGCATCTGCAAGGGTTTAAGAACAGCCTAGTTTTCCATAGGTGTTCTCCTTCCATGATTCATGTTAAAAAAGCAAGGAATGTTTTTTAGTTTTTCATGATATTTACCTCTCCCCATACAAATTCAGCGATCCTTCCAACAAAAAAACTCCCAACTTCGGGAATCGGGAATTCCCGACAAAAATAAATTTCGCGATTTCTGGAATCGAGAATTCCCGAACCAAAAAACGTCAGGAATTCCCGATTTCGGTAAATCGGGAATCAGGTCAGCAGGGGCCCTGATACATATATAAATCTCCCGTCTCTCGATTACCCTTCAATTTAATTCTTAAATTTTTCCTTTTTTGTTATTATTTTCTTATCATTTCAACAACGTCTGGAAATAAAGTGCAAAATAAAAATTCTTAAAAAAGGAAAGGCCCAGTCACGTTATTTATTTCCCTCTTTAATCACTACTACCTCTCCTTTTCTTTTCTTTTTTTTATTTACATTATTTAAATAAAAATTGCCAATAAATCCATAATTTTTTTTTGAATTTTTTAATTAAGATTTAAATTAATTTTCAAAATTTTTAAAATTAAGTTAATACTAAAGTTTAAAATTTGGAAAATGACGGATACGGTTTTGGGATGTAAAAAAAATTTTTCCGGATCAAAATCTCGAAAATCCCGATTTTTATCAAAACAACCGCATCGGGACTACAGGATCCCGAAAATCCCGACCCGGACTATTTAATACTCTCATTTTTATCGATTTTTTAAATTAAAATTTTGCTTAAATTTTAATTTTTAAATTTAAATTAATTTAAAATTAATTTAAGGCCAATCCAAGTTTTAATACAAAAACAAAAAGTTTTACATATATGTATGTAAAGCAAACAATAAATATTTTTCTTTGTTTGGGGGGTTTGAATTGTGTTTTAGAAATGAATTGCTTATTTGCCACGTCTTTTTTAGAATATTCTTTCTAAGTTTTGTATATTTATTTAGTGTTTTATTTAATGATTTTTTTTCTTACAGTGTATTTCCTATCCCAATATTAGATACCCCCAATTCCCCCAATAAAATACCCGCAATATTGTACAGGGTGCGGCAAATTGGCCGCCCCTTTTGTTTTTGCCATAACTTTTTTTAAGGTCAACCAAAATGGATAATTCTTTTTTTATTTTATTCCCAACACTCTAGGAAAATTTTTGGTACCAAGCAATTGAAATATGGTTAAGTTTTAGTAAAGATATTCCCGTCCGAACATCTAAATGCGTAAAAAACATTTTTTATGACAAAGTTTACACTTTCATAACTTTGCTCAAAGTCGTCCAATCTTACTAATTTTGGTACCAATCGACTTATCTCAGTGAGGAGCATCGAAATATTCCAGAAAAATATTTTTGAAAATTTCACCTAAAAAGTTGAAATTTAACACCTATATTCTAATCTATCCTTTAAAAATTCATATCTCAGCTCATGGACCAGATAAGAGTTTTGTTTAACCATT